TAAAATATATATACCTATATAATTATAAACACATATATATGGAATAAGAAGCTCCGAGATAAACACTTTATTTTAAAAGAACTTAAAATTCCCAAACTATTCCAGATACAGACATGTTTTCCCTCACACCCAACCGCACCTCGAATTTACTTCTCTAAAAAGTATTCTGAAATTAAGAAAAAAAGGTTAAAAAAAAAAAAATCAGCTACGCAGAAGAGCGCAAGCAAATATAAGTTGTATGCATGTTAGCTACCCACTGTTTCATGAAGATTAGTGCAGCAAGTTGCAAAAATTTTAAAAATAATTTGGTCGATGACTGTCTTAATCCTTAAAAAACAATTACAGGAGCTTAAAAACTGGCATGCTATTTTTCTCTGGTATTTGACAACAGAAGACAAAGACAGCATTTACACTTCACAACAGATTTTTTCTAATGACTTTAACACTGCAAGTCAAATCAGATTTTCCTCATTCAAAGACTCCAGTTCCTCCTGTTGATCTTACAAAGCTACTGCTTATGTACATTCATGTATAAAAGCCTACATAGGGATGACAGGAGTTACTTATGGGACACAAGGGGGAATAAACGCTGCCAGTTCAGTTAACAGCCTCCTGCGAATTTCAGTTCTTAATGAGGTGTGGACATGAAGTGAAGGGTAAAACATAAAAGGAGTATTTCAAGATTAAAAATACTTTTCTTCAGAAAAAGTTAAAATTAAGAGTTTCTTCCTGGCCTAGCTATCGTCTGGGGACAGAGAACACTGCAGAGAAGTTGCTACTGCACACGCAGGCTCCATTCTGGTGGTCCTCTTTAGTCATTAACGTACTTTACGGTCAGGTTCCTTTCTTCTGTTTTGAAACTGCTCGTATCTTGCAACAGTGGATACACCATCCACAAACTTTGTCTTGTAGAGGACGTTGGCGTTGTTAAACATGCCATCCTTCAAGGACACCACAATAAACTGAAACAAAACAGAAAGTTTCAAGTGGATGCTGCCATCCAAATCAAGTCGTTGAACAACACTGGAAAAGGCTTGCAAGAGGATTCCTTTTATTTTATTTGGCTAATGTCTTAGTGGTAATCCTTCAGAAAATATTCTAAACACAACTGACGCCCAACAGAATGTGCCAAGCAGGTGACCTACAGCCATAGGCCAGGCATTTTCTGCAGCTAATGATGCACAGCTCTGACCAAATCCCACCTCTTGGCCTAGTGCACAAAATACTCTGTTCACAGTGCATCAATCACTGGGAAAAAAAATGTGGCCATGAATTTGTAAGAATGCAGGATCTCTCACAGTCTAAAGATATTGCTTAAATTATTTTACAATACTCTTAACAGATGTTCCCCACCTAGGTCACGTCATACCACCTGAGACAGGTACTGCCTTTCACTCGGAGTAGTAAGTTTCATTAGTTCTACATATTTTTATGTGCACACACCACAGTAATACAGGGATTCTTTCTACTAGTGCCTGGCTTAATTCAGCAGCAAAATATTTTTCAAACTCACATTAAAGAACTCTAGCAAAAAAAAAGAAAACAAATATCTGGATGTGGATCATGCCTGAAGTGGATCATACATGATCCACTATTCCCTATTACTACTTGTTTTTCTCAGCCACGGCAGCAATGGCTTAAATTAAACTTGAATGCTTAGAAATTTCACGGCTGCCATATCACAGTGTAACTTTCAGTTGAAACAACTTGGAAATACAACACAGGTCTCTGGAATAAATACCTGAACAGCTGAGACTCCTCAGTGGCAGAATGCCTCTGAAAATAATGAAGTGCATAAACAGATGATCACAATAGTTTCAGGATCATACCTGAGAGTGTCTGAAATGAGAACGAAGCATTTGCCCAATATTCTGGGTATGAGAGAGATCAAGAGCTGCATCTACTTCATCCAAGATGTAAATTGGAGCAGGTTTGAAGAGAAGCATGGCTAAGATCAAGGACAAGGCCACCAACGATCTAATACAGAGAATAAGACAGTTATCTTTTGCCTTCTTGTTTGAGAGGCTGTGGCTTATGAAAACATTTATCTGTTGTAACAAAATGCTCTCTCAAAAGTAAGCTTATGCTGTAAGTTCCAAAGAGACAGAATGAGAGCTTGTGCCACAACTTTCGTTTTCAAAATATAAAGGCTTCTGCCAGAAATGGCAAATGCAACTTACTGTTTTATCAGAAGATCAGATTAGTTGGGAAACATTTAAAATCATGCTGTTGCTTTATCTATTTTCAAGTCTCAGTTTTGCAGTGCTGTTTTTCAACATACAGTTCTTGAAGCATTCTGTCCTTTAGAAAGTTCTGCATCTCTGTCTCACTTCCTCATAAATTCCATTTTTACCATGACACTACTCCAGCACTGGGGCAGAACTTGTCTATATAGTTTTTTGTGATTACAGTGCAAAGGCTGGACTGTCTAATTAAACAGTATCACAGTACTACCTAGAGTTAACTGCAGTTTTCTCCCCACTCAATTTTTCTCAATGGAGTAAAATCTTGTTTGTTATCATACTCCACATAATGCACTGTCAGCTTCCTCTTTCAGTATTAAGTCAGGTTGGAAGGAGACAAGAGTCCCTGACTTGACTGGGGAAAAGAGTCATTCTTGCTTTTCTGAACTATAATTAGCTAGACATATCAATGATATACACAACTGCAATGGAAAGCAAGCAAAAAACCCAGAAAGTTAACCAACCTTTGTCCTCCACTAAGTTCTGTTAAGTTTTCCTTCCAGGTGTTTCCTAAGGCAATTCTGAACTCCAGACCATCCATGACATTCTGGGTTTTAGAGGCCACTAGCATAGCTTTGGCTCCTGGTAGAAGCGTTGAGAAAATTGAACCAAAGTCTTCATTCACCTAGAAGTCAGACCATAACGGATGTATGCACGTGCTTTGACTCCAAGGCACAAACATTTAAAAACTTGGAAGTAAGCTGCACTATGCGCTAGACATCCTGCCCTATTTAACCCAATGACTTTTTACGTCTTGAAGATCAGCACATACAGGATAGTGAAAAAATGTTAGCGTAGTAGATCTTTAATTTTCTGTGTACTGAAAAGAAAAACACCAAGGGATGGAGATATATATATATATGTCATACTAAGCATTTTAGAAGGATTAAATGAAAGAAATATTCGAAGGCTTATGCTACCAGCCAGGGAAATTGTTAGGTCCTACCTCAGATTTATTAACGGGCAGATTGTGATTTCTCCCAATTAAAGGACTACTAAAATTGTAAGAACCTTGTAAGAGGCACACAGTGCATACTTCCCACTCCTTTTCTTCCCAGGATTACTTAAGCAATGTACAGGTACTGAATGGGATGAAACTTTGGAAACGTAGATAAAAATTTCATAGGTTAAGGAATGTATCTGAGAATGCGCTTATTCCACCATGCATGATGCTCTTAAATACAATTCCCTAAGTTTTGCCAAACAAAGATTTTGCAATGAAATGTACCATTTTGTCTTGAGTATGGGCAGTAATAATTAAAACTCACACTTTTTTTGAGCAATTTAAGCTTAGATGTAATCAAACTTCTCAAAAGCAAAAAAGTAAAAGTGCTCCTGGTACAGCAGAAAAGAATGCATCAACAGCTTTCTGTGTAGAATGAGCAAGGGAAAACTTTAGACATTTGTTATAGTCCATGATAAGACAACTAACAAGAAGGCAGAATGCTTGGGCAATAGAAACGAATCAGTCGTTCCTCTGTTCCAGTGTTACCTATCCCATCAGTGACATGAAGAGTAGCCCAGGTCCACGGCCCCACATAGTATGGGGCTATACATGGGGTTCCGCTCAAATACTGGTTGAACCAAGCAAAAACAGACTGTATCACTGTTTTGTCCAAATTCCATGTGAGAGACTATGACTTCAGCATGCCAGTAGCTTAACCTTTCTTAAATTTTTGCAAGCACTAAAAGAGAATGGTAAAGTAGTTTTTCAGGTTTAACTTTATCTTCATTATTCTCAGATATTTCAGATTTTATTCTCAAAAGTGAGATGGAATGGAAGGAATGAAGTGGTTGTTTTGTACTCGTATTGGGATTGCATGGCCAGATTTTGGTGGGGGCGGGCTGTAGGGGTGGCTTCTGCAAGCAGCTGCTCAAAGCTTCCCCTGGGTCTGATGGAGTAAAAGCCAGTTGACCTGCCTCTGTGATAACATATAAGAAGCAGGGAAAAAGAACAGCACCACAATATCTGGCAGCAAGAGAGAGTAAGGAGTGAGAATAGGTGAAGACACCAAGGTCAGTGAAGAAGGGCAGGGGAGGATGTGCTCCAGGCATCAGAGCAGAGACTTCCCTTAGTCATGGTGAATATCACGATGAAGCAGACTGTCCCCCTGCAACCCATGGGTGTGGCGGGACGTAGATGTGGCCTGTGGAAGACCCCACACTGGAGTGGGTGGATGCCTGAGGAGGGCTGTGACCCTGTGGGAAGCCCACACTGGAGAAGGATCCTGCCAGAGCCTGTAGCCTGTGGAGAGCAAGAAGCCCACAGCCCAGCAGGTTGGGTGGCAGGACTTTGTGACACCGCAGGGGACTCGTGCTGGAGCAGTTTCCCCCTGAAGGCCTGCACCCCATGGAGAGACTCACATTGGGGCAGTTCGTCAAGAACTGTCTCTTGTGAGAAGACTCACACTGGAGTGTGAAAAACAGTCTCCTGTGAGAGGGACCATATGCTGGAGCAGGGGAAGAGTGAGGAGTCCTCCCCCGGAGAAAGAAGGTGAAGACAACAATGGATGAAGTGACCACAACCCCCATTCTCCAACCCCTTGGCTGCTTGGGGGGAGGAGGTGGATAAATTGGGAGTGAGCCCGGGAAGGAAGGGGTGGAAGGGAAGGTGTTATTTTTAAGATTTCCTTTTACTTCTCATTTCTCTGATTTGATTTTTAATAAATTTAATTAATTTCCACAAATCAAGCCTGTTTTGCCCAGAAGAGTAACCGCAAGTGATCCCTCTGTCCTTATCTGAAACCATGGGCTCTTCATTATATTTTCTCTCCCCGTGTCTAGCTGAGAAGGAGAAGTGATAGAGTAGCTGTAGTAGCTATCTGGCTGCTGGCCAGGGTCAAACCACTACAGTGCTTTAAATACTAGGTAAAGGAGATCAATTCTATAAAGAGGTTTTTTCCACCCCCATGGAAACATGCAAAACAATAATCTAAGTTAAATTTGATCCTCTGCTAAAACGTGAAGATTAGATTTCAAGTGTCTTACCTTTTTCCAAGCAATATGTAAAGTTTCAGTTTTCTTCTGGTCAAGCTCTTTGATAGTTGCCAGAATTTTCAACTTGTCATTTTCTACAATTCTTTTTTTCCTCATTAACTCATTGTACTAGTGTATTGAGAAGAAAAGATTGATTTCAATAAACCATGTGCTCAAACATATTTTATGTTAATCTTACAGTTTCTTTATTTGTTGGTTTTGTAACTATGGAATAGCCATTAACCACAAGACTGAAACCCAAAGCATTCACTTAGCTGTATACGCAGGATTTAAGTTTTAGGATATTATCTGCAAATTAAGGCATTAGAATTTTCAACAATTGGCAAAGGGGAAGACCAACGTTACTCTGAAAGTTGCACTTCCCTTTCAAGTTAATCATGTGTTGATTTGTCATAGAAGAACGTTTCTCCCGGCTGTTAGGAAGAACAAGCCAATTCTAATCATGAAGCAGGACTAGAAAATTTAAAGTGTCAGGCAGTGGACAGTTTTAAGACAATTCTGGAATAGTCTCAAGATATAGACAAATTCGAGACAGCCCTGAAACATCTTGAAGATGAGCCATTTCTTGATCCACAACCTTTAGCAAAGTAGGTAAATCTCGGATATTGTAACAGATATCACAAAGCTGATCTACTGCTGCTGATGCAACTTAGGATGGATTGGGGCAGGGAGGAATGAAACTATTCTTTTTTAGCGTCCAAAGCCAAGATTATGCCTAATCTAGAAAACCAGTGCATAAGTGAATAGCTGAAAACTATAGGATCAGTATAAAACACCTAATAAAAGGTCTCCTGCTATATCATGAAGGTGTAGGGGTTTTTTTGGTGTATTCAGAAATAGAGCATATGAAAATACAAAGCTATGTTATACATAATATTATAAAGATTGGGCAGTTTGGATATATAGGTTAAAGCACAAAAAGTTTACCCGCTCCTCTGTCTCAGAAAGCATAGTCATTGCTCTCATGTTTTTTTCTCTTTCATCTCTTGTAATTTCTGCAACTTCTGACCCGCTTCTTCAGGATCATTAGCTTTGAAGTCATAGGCTGAGTTTGGCTGACCAAAAAGGTGTTTGTCTGAAGCTATCCACTCATACTCCTTCAGCATCTTGGTCACCTGTAAACAAGAAGATATGCTAAGGCCTTCTTCCCCTTCCCTGTCCCAATTCTCCAATGTGAATCAGAAATAATAAATAAATAATCAACATCCTGAAACTGCAACATTAATTCTTCTATCTTAACACAGCACATGTGTGTATCTTTACAATGCTTCCTGTGATTTCTAAGACTGTAGATAAACCAAGATCAAGGGACCTTACACATATACCCATCATATTTACTTGGAACATGTTTTTCTGTATCTAGACTAAGCCACTGTTACTTAATCTCAGGATTAGCTTCTTTAATTAGTTGGCTAATAGTCGACGCAGTCAGAATGTTCTTCTCATTGATCACACTATGATCTACTCTTCATCGGTTCATACTGATAAGCTCTGTTACAATTTACAACTTCCACCGCCTCCTCCTCAAACAGAACTTCTCACATCAAGAGCTGGAAACACAACAGTGCTTATTAAGAAACAAGGGCATGTGGCAAGAGAAATAATGACTCTTGGTCACAAGATGGAAGAAAAAGCACAGTTCTGAAATACCTTGGCAGCAGCATCAGCAGTTTCTTGCTGGTGTTTGCTGATCTTGTGTTCTAATTCTTTAACCTGAAGCTGTAATCCATTATTTTGTTCTCTGTGTTTTGCCATCTCTGCAGATTTAGCTTTAATTTCTTTATCCTGTAATGCAATTTCTTCCTTAAGCTTGGCCAGCTCCTTCTGCAACTTCTCTACAGATTCCTGAAAAACAAATCAAGCAGCCATTTATTAGCTTCTTTAAAAGGCTGTTAGACAGTTGTTAGAAGAGAAGGACACAGCAAGGAAAGAGAAAAAAATTCACGTGGTAATGAAGCAAAAAAATAACTAATTATGCAGGCTAAACGCAACTGAGTGCTGGCAAGAAAATGCAACCAACAAAACGCACACTATAATTTGAGCTTTAGGGGATCATATCTTCAGTAACATCAAAACAGATAATAAAACACAGTATTCACTTTTACCTTTGCCTCAGACACCTCAGGTTCCATAGCATCAACCTGCTCCTGGTAGGATTTGACTGCTTTATCTGCAGCTGCTACTTGCTGTTCACAGGAGGCCTGTTCTTGTTTTAGCTCTTCAAGCTCCAGAACTAAAGCCTCAAATTCCTAGAGGGATGTTTTCAAATTTATTATAGTTATACTTAAATTGAAAGAATTAAGATTCAGTTTGACATAGTAAATGCTGTAGAAGATGAACAATACCCGTTCTTCAGGAAGGGGGCAATCTCATATAAAAAAAGAAAAAGAAGAAAAAAAAGGAAAAAAGGGCGAGAGGGGAGAGGGGCAAGGGGCAAGGGGAGAAAAGAGCACCACCAATTTCTATGTCAGTTACTACAAAGAAATATATTAAGTTTCAGAGCTGACAGTATTAAAACTTCATGAGAATCAAAGTTTCTGATTACTGCAGCCACTTTCGACATCGAGAAAACTGCCAGCAAAGTCAAGTTTTACCTGCTGCTTTTCTTTCATTTCTTTGCTTGAAGAATCTGCCTTTTTCTTGGCATCATCTAGTTTCTCCTGGGCATTTTTTATTTCTTTTTCACATTCTGCTTCTGCATTTTTCATTTTATTCTCTAATACCTTGTATTTTTCTTCTGCTTTCTTTTGGCTCTCTTCAGTTTTCTTTAATGTCTCTTGACACTCCGCTGAACCAAGAAGTACAATACTGAGATTGGGCATCATTCCTATCTTTACATTTATATCCTGAACTCCAACTGCAACAAATCCATCTTTGCCTCTAGCAGAAAAAACGTGGTTGTACATTTGCTAGTTGCTGAATTTGCCTATTTCAATGACTAAGAGAGTGTGCTGCTGTAACCAGTTATTGACAGGGCACCAAACAGACAACCAGTCACTAAAATCAATGAAAATAAGCATTTTTTCTTTTTCTGACAGGCGCAAGTATAAGCCAAATCACATGATCCAGAAGCAATCGATCAGATGGCTACCTAATAAGGTATCGTCTCTTTCACAGAATACTATGTCTACATATGTATCATATCTGTCCATCTTTTTTCTTTAGATGTTTTACTTATAGTTGCACTTGTTTAAATTTTTCCTTAGCTACATGAACAGTACTTCTTTACATTTCTTTCTTGTTCCGCAAACTATTTAAATTGCTAACCTTAAATATCTACAGGAACAAATGGCTTAAAAAAATGAAAAAGATTACTCAAATATTATGACTTAACTTACTCTAATTTTATAGCTTACTGGCAAAGCCCTTTTTCTTTTTATTATGAAGTATATTAAACACTTCAGAATATAACATTTAGAACAAGAGAATGGCTAACCTTAGGTAAATCACCTCTAAACAAGCCTATTGTGATTCTCGATGTTACATATGTCAAAATACAAAGCTAGTATTTTCAATGCATTTTTTTTCTTAAGCAAAGATTCTGTTACTCAAACGGCCAAATATTCATCTCACTCTCAGCAATTAGTTTTCAATTAAAAGATTAAGAACACAGTTCTCACCGATGGTTTTCTTCAGGGCAAGCAGCTCTTCCTCGTGTTTGTGATAAGCACTCTGACAAAGCTTAGTTTCCAACAGCTCTACTTCCTCAGATTTCATCTCCCACTGCTGCTTCAGTTGCCGGTACCTTTGAAGACAGTAATGATAAGGGCTGTTATAATGAAGAGTATCCAGCACTTCAGTTTCAAAGTTGAAATAAAAAGATACAGAAATAAGTAGATAAATAAGCTAGCTCACTAATGTGAGATACAACTGACAAGTAAGCTTAAAGACTGATATAATTTCTTGAATAGTAAGTGTGAAGCTTGTTGAGTATGTAAGTTATTATATATGTAACTCCTAGTTATCCAGCCTGTTAAGACTTACTAAAAATAAACAACGCAACACATGGAATTTGGCAACAATTCAGAGCTCATCTTCTTCCAACGAGCAGCATGACAAATGCTAGGCTAAAGCATTAAAGAAAAAATCTAAAAGTAAAACTCATTTTTTTTTTGTTTTGGCTATATTTCACGTGTTGCCTGGTCTAGTCGAGAGGTGGCGTCCCTGCCCATGACAGGGAGGTTGGACTAGATGATCCCTGAGGGCCCTTCCAGCCTAGGCCATTCTATGATTCTATGATTCTGTGAGCTGTAATAGACTCAAAACAATTTGAAAAATAAATCCGCCTGGTAAATAGGATATTACACAGCATACCTCCTTATGGGATTTTTACAGATCTGACTAAACATATTTTTATATTCTACCTTTTAAAAAGATTTTCCGTAATTGAGTAGCTGAAAATCAAACATATTTAAAATTATTTTAAATCCTTATAGCAGTATCACTCAGATATTACCCTTTACTATCTTTATATCTTCTCGAGAGAAAAATAAGAGCTATCACCAACCGAAACTCTGTATGGGTGTTACAAAATGTGTGTGGAACAGATCCATTCCTCCGTCAACTTCATGAAACTTTGGTAAACTTCAAGCGATTTCACGTAGACACTACTGTATGCCATTTTTTCCTGTATTATGTAAAGTTTTCTTGCATGTGTTATCTACAACCTAAACTTCCTTGTTGATTGCTGTACTGACAAATTATATTGAGGGAGAAGGTGAAAGGCAATCATTTTCTGCATATTACATTCTCAACAGGCCCTATGCCCTCCAAAAATACTTCATTAGATGGAGCTTACTCAGTCCCAGAACAGAAACAAAAGACATTTTATAGGGCAAACCTTACTTTTCAGCAACGTTCTTCAAGCCTGCCAGCTCATTCTCTACAGCCCCAAGTTCAGATTCCTTCGTCCTGAGTTCTACTTCAGCATCTTTCATTTCTTTAATTTTGGACAAGATTGATGCAGCCTGTGAGAATGCACCTATTCAGTGAGGGGGAAAAAAATCAAGTCAAGCCAATTGGAATTAAGACTAGTGGATTCACCACTGGCAAATATCAAATTCTAAATGGTAGTAATGATGTAGGTGAATGATTTGTTTCAGTCAGAAAACTGAAAACCTGCTGGGCTGAAGTTCCAGTAGTTCTCATGAGAAGACTACCTTCTCTGTTACAGAATCCAGTTCTGCAAACTTTGAACACACATGTGCGTTTCTTGTGAAATCAACCAACTTTACACAATTTACAAAACTACCTCGAATTAATTATCAATTACTTCAAAAAGCACTTGAATGCAAAGCACTTATGTTTCCAAGAGGATATATAGCCAACAAAAATTTAAGCATTTAGCATCTAAACTACTTCATGCAAATAGTTTGCCATTCATTTCTTCTTAATCTAATCAATCTTACTTCAGCTCCAGAGTGACAAATTTTTGCTCAAACAGATCATACTACCCCTAGTATGAGTATAAACAAAAAGGTTACTGTTCATTTTTACGAAAAACATGCAAAGTGGTAAACAAATCAACAGACACAGAGTATTATTATATGAATAAAACCAGTAATTACCTCCATGCAGAGTGCCATTGGGGTTAAATGTATCTCCATCAATTGTAACACTTCTTGTCATTATCCTTTTGTCAAAGGTCACTTTCTTACCATTATCCATGTTATTACAAATCAGTGTCGTTCCAAAGACATATTCCATTGCTTTCTGGAGTTCAGGTTCATACCCAACTACAGTAAGGGCTAAATCGAGGTTACAGTCACCAACCTAGAAACCAAACAAAATGCAATTAGTAAGCCTTATTATAAGAATCTTCAAATTTAACTTCATAGAATGATAGAATGCACTGGGTTGGAAAGGACATTTAAAGGCAATCTAGTCGAAACCCCCTGCAGTAAGCATGGACATCTTCTGTCTTCTTTTGTTAAAACTACTTTCTAAGAACATCACTACATTTTAAAACAATTTCAGTTAGAAATGGAGTAATTAATATCCATTTCAACATGGATACATACAAGGTATGCATATAAAGGAAAAAAATGGAATCATGACACCCTCAAACCCTGTAGAAATTCTGGTTAGTACAACCATTAAGAAGCTCACTTTTTTAGCAAAGAAATAAAATGAAAAAGACAAAAAAGCAAATTAGTGTAAATTGTGTATTTATTTACATACCAAGGTTTTGGCCAATTTGACTATATCTTGTCCCACACATCTGGCTGAAATCTTGTTTAGTGGGATGATGGTGTATCGACGCTTTAGTTCACCCTTTTCTAATAGCTTTTTGCCAGTAACCTCAAATGAAAAGAGTTACATATGAAGACGTAAGTGACTTTTTAAAGTAAGACAATTAGGCATTGCAAGAGGAATATATAGTGGCCAGTAACTATGCATGGCTCTCAGTCCAATTTAAACAAGTACATGGGACCAAACCACCTCTTACACATTCAGTAACAACGCACATGCTCACTCACGCTTGCATCATGACCTCATCTCACCATTCAAGAGTTTTATATTAAAGCAATAAACATACCTCTGTGTCTACAATAATGTTATAGAGTTTCCCTCCAGCTACCACTTCTAAGGCTTTGGCTTTGGATACATCCTTCACAGTGATAAGAAGCACAACAGGGCCTTTCACATTGTTTGGATTCCAGTTTTTTTCTGGATTTCTTAAAATAAATTTAAATTATTATAATCATGCTTGTTTCTCTCCCACACATCTCAAATATATACACAGATATATTTAAAAACTCATACTGCTTATTGTACTGGTATAATTCTAAATTCAAGGGAAAAAACCCACAGAAAATAGTTTAATTAAATACTTCAGGGCAAAGAGACTCCCCAGTAAAGAGTCAGTTACTAAGTCATTACAAGAAAGTCCTTCCAGATTTTGGTATAATTTGTTCACAAAATTTTAACTGATTTATATTGTGGGATTTATCACTAGCACAATAGGAATATGGTCAGAAAGAGGAATATGTTTCACAAACAAATAAATCTGGGGTTACATATGTTTCATTAGAGGAGACAATGTTGACATCCACAGAGCAAGTCTACTCAGTCCTCAGGCAGGACTTTGAAAAGCAATGATTACATATCAGAAGTTTAGACCTTTGGATTCCATGGTTTTAGCTACTGAAGTTAAGTTACTGCTTGCAAACACCATCATACAGAACTTTCAAATTCTGGTAATTTCGATAAGGCTGTATCACTTTTACTGCTGTATCACGAATGACTGTATTGCTTTTCCTGACTTCCCCACCACTGTTCCCTAGCATAGTCATTATTCATAGGCACTGAAAGGAAAGCAACAGCTAAGCAATTGATGGAATTATTCTCTAAGTCCCACAGTCCACACACAAAACACCCATTAAAGCACCTTCAAATGTCTTTTAGGATCACACTGAGATCTTACTTGTATTCGAACTGTAGATGAGGAAACTTTGACACCAAGCTTTCATACGATTCTCTCAGCTGGCTGATGTCACAAATCAATGCCTTTTTTTTTGCTAAAAGGGCTTCTTCTTTCTCTTCTTAAGAGTTGAACACAAGCAGTAGACAAACACCCAGAGCAGAGAAATCTATTAGCTAAAAAACTGGTATGCTACATTGTTTATCTACGTATAGAAAGAGAATATTTAATTGAAAAAATTTTCTAAAATTCTTGTAAATTTCCAGTTTACATAAATAACCACCATCACAATAGCACACATGAAAAGAAAGGGTTTAAAGTCTAATCTGCTTCTCTTAATGTTGTTCTAGAATATCAATTCACAGTTTTGAGTAGCTTCTGCAATGTTAGCTGGAACAAGAACCAAACTTTCAGAAGTGTTTTAGGTAGGGAAAATCAGAAAGGAATAGAGAAAAGTTGGTCACCTCTCTCATCTAAATTTTAGGGAGAATTTAAGTTTTCCATTAAACTTTAAAGCATTTGGCCTAAAGCTTATAAAATCAAATTATTTTAAACTATTTTCTGTGGAAGGCAAGACCTTGCAGAGCTCTGACCAGAGAAATTTCTTTGTGCATGAAAGCAGCATACTTGTTTCTTCAGTTCCTCCTTGTATTGAGCCTGATTAGCTAACTAACTAACTAACATTAGTTAATGGAGTTAACTTTCCCCACAGCAGATCTCTTTGTGCTGTCTATTTCTAGCAGAAAGGTGTTGATAACACACTAGTCTTTTGGCTACTTTTGAGCAGTGCTTCCACAGCGCCAAGGCTGTCCCTCCCAAGGCCAGCAGGCTGGAGGTGGGTAAGAGATTGGGAGGCAACATAGACAGGGCAGTAGATTCAAGCACTATTCCATACCATACAAAGGCATGCTCAGCAATAAAAGCTAGGAGAAAGGACAAGGAGAGGGGGCGCTCATTAGTAAGGCATTTGCCTTCCAGAAGAGGCCTGCTTCCCAGTAGGGTGCTGAGGCCCCAGCTCCCAGAAGTCACTGGACATCACGTGCTGATGGAAAGGGGAATGCAAATCTTCTGATTTTCCTTTGCTTTGGTGTCTGGTAGAGCCAGTTCCAGCTGGATACAAGACAGACCCATCAATGGCCAAAGACAAGCCCTCTGAGTGACAGCAGTAACGCCTCTGTGATAACACATCACAGAAGGGGTAAAAACTGCTGTACAACAGCAGCTCGGAGAGGAGTGAGAATATGTGAGAGAAACAACTCTGCATACACCAAGGTCAGTGAAGGAGGGGGAGGAGGTGCTCCAGGCAGCGAAGCAGACAATTCCTTGAGCCTGTGGTGCACACCACGGTGAGGCAGGCTATCCCCCTCTAGCCCATGCACGTTAACACTGGAGCAGATGTCCACCTGCAGCCCGTGAAAGACCTCATGTGGGAGCAGGTGGACGTGCCCCAAAGGAGACTGTGACTCTGTGGGAAGCCCACGCTGGAACAGGCTCCTGGCAGGACTTGTGATCCCACAGGAGACGCACACTGGAGTAGTCTGCTCCTAAAGGACTGCACCCCATGGTAGGGACCCAAACTGGAATAGTTCACAAAGAACTGCGCCTATGGTGAAGAAGTTTGTGAAGGACTCTCTCCCATGGGAGGGACCCAATGCTGGAACAGAGGAGCAGTGTGAGGAGGGAGCAGCAAAGACAATATGTGATAAACTGACCATGACCCCCATTCCCCTCACCCTGTGCCGTTCAGGGGCAGAAGGTGAGAAAATCAGGAGTCAAGTTGAGCCCAGGAAAAGGGAGGGGTGGGGGAAAGTTGTTTAAGATTTTATTTCTCATTACTCTGCTCTGATTTGATTGGTAATAAATTAAACTAATTTTCCCAAGTGCGGTCTGTTTTGCTTGTGACTGTAATTGCCAAGTGGTTTCTCCGTCCTCTTCTTGACTCACGAGCCTTTCACTGCATTTTCTCTCACCTGCCCAGCTGCAGATGAGTGACAGAGCAGCTTGGTGGGCACCTGGCAGACAGCTAGGGTCAACCCATCAAATTTCCATATTCCTTTTCAAATTGCCCCCATAATTATGCACCATAAGTACAGACCTTCATAGTTCAGCTTCTTAATTTGATTCTCTAATTTTTCTTTTGTTTTTTTTAGGGCTTCAAGTGCTTCCTGGTCTTTCTTGTAGACTTCATCCATCTTTATAACTTCAGTTTGTTTTGTCTTTAACTCTTGTTGTGCATATTTCAACTTCATTTGAGTCTGTAAGGAGTAAGAAAATACACAACTAGAAGATCTTTATTAAAAAATCTTTCAGGTGCAGATTTAGAATACTTGCATCAACAAGGTATTGATATAGTTTGTAAAAGTTCACACTAGCTGCAGAAATGCCAAAAATCACCCTTGGCTTTTGAAAGAAAGCGTGCAGGTGACTTGGAAATAAGGACATAAAATATGTATTTGGATACCGTAACTTGTATTAGCACACGAAGACTCCAAAAAGAAACAAGGTAAAATAATGTGGAACACAGTCATCCTTGTTATTTTCCCAGAAGTTTTTCCTTTAACCTAGACAAGCAAGGTGCACGTTCACCTTTGAAAATTTAAATTCCACTGCGAGAACTATCCTAGCAGAAGTTTCCTATCTTAAGACAAAAGGAATGGTATCTGTTTCACTAATACCAGACTAGCACACAATTTAGCTAAGGAGAAAATACTTTCTTCCTAACTTTCCATTCACGGTCTCAGGCATCTTTATTTTGATTCATTTAAGTTTTACTATAGAAAACTCTAGTACAAATATGTATCACGGAGAGCAATCTAAAGTTCTTCCTATCCAATACCATCAGTCACTTGAGTACTTTGAGTCATGCTTTAAGTTTCAAATGCCAGATTCTATACTTCCTCATAGCAATGTCTCAGCTTTTCCGTATTTGTCTGTATCTATGCAAGGACTTTTTGTTCAATGACTTGTTTCATCAAAAAGTCACCGTAATGCATGTTATCAATTTGTAAAATATCTTGCATAGATATTCTGTGGATCTTTACACTGACCTTTCACAAGTGTGTCATCTGGTTTTTACACACGAAAGCTACTCTGAGAGAGGCATATTCTTACCTGTTTAGCCTCCGTTACTGCTCTGCTGATTTCATTTTTGCAGGTCATCATCTGCCCAGCAAGAGTAGCTTCTTCCCCATCGTCATTGCTGGACAAACCAGCAGACACAGCATTAAAACGTTGTTGTGCTACAGCTAAATCACGTGCATCTTTTTCACTTATTTCCTGTAAAGCATTTAGTTCTTTCTGTATCTTCTTTACTTCTTTCTCCTTTGATGCTAATGCTTTAGTATCCTTCAGCAAAACAAAGAAAAAAAAAAAAAGAGAACCTGAACCTTATTACTTTAAACTCATGGTGCTTAAATAAAGAGCTAGTGTAGTTTCACCGACTACATTTCTATGACCCTCTATGAGATTTTGTGATCTTTTAATTTGTCTTTACATGTTTTCATATGTGTACTTGCCTCATGAGTGCACTACAGAGCTAGAGAAAAAAAAAAACACAGGAAGAGATGACAACTGCCCAAGAGCTAGGAGAAATAGTTTTTGCTTCCCAATATCTAAAAAATAAAGTATTCTTCAGTGCTCCTCTTGCACAGAAAAAAGACATCAACTGGTAGAAAACCGCAATGTAGAAATTTCTCCCTTAATTTTAAAACAGCACATATCCAGAGAGTATAATACTTTTGAAGCTATAGGGATCTCTCCTGAACTTTACAAGAGGTTGTCAACCAGAAAGAGTTGTACTTCCTTTGTATATGCGTCACATTTGCTTCTAATGGGAACTTGCTACCAGAGCCCCACAAATCAAACAATGGCCTTGTCATTTGTTTCTACTTTCCTGATGTAATTCTTGCTAAATACAGGATTTTTCTCATCACAACAGGTAAGAAAAAACAGCTGTCCCCCTCTGAATTAACTTAGTGTTTAAAGAAATTCATATACAAAGTTCTTACCTCCTGCACAACTTTTACCAGTTCTTCGTACTTAGTCTTTTCACTTTTTAAGTTCTGCTTCCTGAGATCAAAGGCACTTTGTACTTTAGCACTAGCTCTTTGAACTTCCGAAAGAGCTTCTTCCAGTGAACAGAGCTTACCAGCAGCTTCCTACAATCACAGAAAAGATGGAATTTACAGCCCAAGAAACCAATAAGGTATTTGTATTATGTCATCTTCTGCTCACAGCTATATACAGAAGAAGAGGTAAGCACCTCATTAAGCAGGCAGTTAGACTCCAATGCAAACAGATCAGAATGTCTCTTACCTCTGAAATACAACCTAACTTGAAGCTGCTACTGAAAACCCACATCATCCCATATCATGGGACATTGTCCCTGTTCAAAAGCTGCATTTTGGCACCCAGAGACCCTCTGGGCCAACTTGTATCTAACATTATTTACTGTCCTCAAAACTGAGGTCAGTACTGAGTTTTGCTGAACAAGAGTTTCCTATCTGAAATATATTTCTTTTAAGACATCAACAAAAAGAGAGAAAAATACTGTTTGGCAAAACTTAGCATTGAACGCAGAGTGGAAACATGACGTTAAACAGATTCTATTCATTTACAGTTACTGGGAGTAAAGCATTTCAGATAAAAACTTTAAATAGAGGTCTTTTGGACAATGGTTGAGTACGACACTGAGCAGTGTATAATATGAACAAAGACTAGAAGATAAAAATCCAAGCGTATATGATCTGCCAAAATTATTCCATTCTCACATAACTGCTTGTATTCAAACATTCAGATGAACCTGACTCTGTTCTCACTTACCTGATCCCTTTCCTTTTGCATCTCCATTATTTCTTCATGAAGTTGCCGCACTTTCTTTTCACTTTCGGCCATTGATTCCCGAAACTTCTCTACACTAGACTGCATTTCATTTAATATTTCAGCAGAGGATATCTTTGTCTTTTCAGCCAGAACAAACTGATAAGCTATGTAGAGACGGCTTAAATGTTCTATTTTTTGCGTTAGCTTTTGGTATTCTAGATAGGTTGCTCGTTCCTGAAAAGACATCAGTAGAAAAAAATCTAAACTTTGATGGAAAAATAATACTAAGTAGGATTGTTACAGAAATCTTCTAAGCACTTCTACTAACATTACTATTTGTACGTAAGAGGAAGGATTCTCCATATTAAGTAACATGTTCAGTATTATCCATTGCAGGCCTACTTACAAAGATCTTAGATAAAACCGTACTTATACAATCATTGTACAGCAGAAATATCACCTAACACAAGTTTTTAAAGAACTAAGATATGGTTTTATCTTCTATTTTTATCTAGTTCTCTTGTTTTCTTCCTTTTCACTATATTCCCCTCTAAGATTTCCTGGAAGCCCTGAATGTCACATTTTCTGTATTTGGACAGAAGATAAAATTTATCTTTCTTAAAAGATTCGACAAAGCTTGAAAATATGCTATTGTTTTAGCTAGTACATACTGGTTTAGGGTAGATTATATTTTTTCAGTACTTTAAGGGACCTGCTACTCTTCTAATTTTTCCATACCTCTCTCAGTTTCTGTAAAGTTGGAGTGATCTCCTCATCTAAGACCTGAAACACAAACCAAAATATTTTTATTCCAAATTTCAAAACTCTCGCATGTTTAAGAATGAATAAATAGTTCTAGGTGCAGAAATTAAATATTCTTCAAGTTAAAACCACACTACATTAGTTACTCAGTTATCTTTAACAAATATAAAAGAAAGTATACTTTCCAACATGTTGTACCGTTTGAATCTCTTTCAGTTTGGCTTCCTTCTTCTCTATGGTTTTCTGGACATTTATTTTCTTGCATTCATACATCCTCGTACCAGCTGCTTCCTCAATCATAGCTAAAATCTAAAATACAGCAATACAATAAAAATTTAATGTTTCTTCTCATGGCTCATGGCTTAGACAGGTGTACTCTTTGCTGGGTTAAAAACTGGCTGGCTGGATCAGCCCAGAGGGTGGTGGTAAACAGAGCTAGATCCAGTTGCTGGCCAGTCACAAGTGGTGTTCCCCAGGGCTCAGTCTTGGAGCCAGTCTTGTTTAATATCTTTATCAATCTGGATAAGGGAATTAAGTGCAGCTTTGGCAAATGTGCAGATGACACCAAACTGAGTGGGAGCATTGCATTGCTGGAGGGTAGGGAGGGTCTGCAGAGGGGTCTGGACAGGCTGGATCCATGGGCTAAGGCCAGCTGTATGAGGTTCAACAAAGCCACGTGCTGGGTCCTGCATGTGGGTCACAACAACCCCCAGCAGCGCTACAGGCTTGGGGAGGAGTGGGTGGAGAGCCACCAGGCAGAGAGGGCCCTGGGGGTGTTGGTCAACACGTGGCTGAACATGAGCCAGCAGTGTGCCCAGGTGGCCAAGAAGGCCAACGGCATCCTGGCCTGGATGAGAAACAGTGTGGCCAGGGCAACCAGGGAAGGGATTGTCCCCCTGTACTCGGCCCTGGTGAGGCCTCGCCTCAAACCCTGTGTTCAGTTTTGGGTGCCCCATGACAAGAAAGACATCAAAGTGCTGGACCTTGTCCAGAGAACAGCAACGAACCTACTGAGGAGTCTACAGAAGCCTTCTGAGGAGTGGCTGAGGGATCTGAGGCTGTTTAGCCTGGAGAAGAGGAGAGTAATTGCCCTCCACAACTACCTGAAAGGAGGCTGTAGCAAGGTGGGTGTCAGTCCCTTCTCCCAAGTTACTAGCAAAAGCATGAGAGGGAATGGGCTCGAGTTGTGCCAGGGGAGGTTTAAATTGGATATTAGGAGAAATATCTTTACTCAAGAGTGATGAGGCATTGGAATAGGCTGCCCAGGGAAGTGGTGGAGTGACCATCCCTGGAGGTATCTAAAAACATGTAGATGTGGCACTTCAGGATATAGTTTAGTGGTCATGGTACTGCTGGGCTCTGGGTTGGACTAGACGATCTTAGAGGTCTTTTCCAACGTTAGTTAGGTTCAACTAACTCAGAAGTGAGTCAAACATCTCATCTAATACCTTTTTTTTCCCCCTCCCTCCTTCCTCCAGATAATTGATACTTGTCATTCAAAACAAACCAGCAAAACTTCAGACAAAAAACTCTCACAAATTTCCTACCTCTGATGGCTTCATATTTAGAACTTTGGTAATTCTCCCCTGGTGACGGAAGATAAAACAAGAATGGTGTTTGTGTACAATGCAATAGTAAAAAAACAAAACAAAACAAAACAAAAGAATCCCCCATTTTTAGATGTTAAAAGTTCAAATATGACTTTTAAAAAGAAATTTCTGCTACAAGGATAATCTAGTTTACTCAATTGTTTTGCTCCTTAAAGTTCAAAGAAGTCACTGCTTCAGGCATCAAGCCTAAAACAGCCCTTATATCTTATCCTCACTTGCCTGTTTAGGAATAATGTGCATATTTTGTTCTAGATTACTGAGTTGTTGATGTTGAGTAAAGCTCTTAACTGGCCTTTTGGTGATTTAATTAATACATAAGTAGAGGGAAGCAAAACAGGTGCAGAACTGCCTTCCTCCCGCATCCCCCCACGCCGCAAGTTGGGACAGTTCCGTTTGAAACAGTAAATCCTGCTCTGTTTTATCATTCGTTGCAAACATTTCAGGAATTTGTCCAGTCCCTGTGTTGATGTTTATGAGGATTTTTTTCAGTTGGTTAGCTCTTCCTTTGTTAATCATGACTTAAGATTAAGTAGTATAAAATTCATTCAAAATATTGTCTAAAATGGAACACACAACAGAAAGAAAATCTCTGTCCTTTAAGCATAGCAATAGTCCTTTGAGCATAATAATAAATGCAACGTCTATCTGTGAAAGAGACAAAAAGGAAAATAAAATTGGAGTATCTTTTTGGAAAAGCTTCCTAAATGAGAGCTACATGAAGTCCTGTGCTACAAGACACATGTTTTAGGGTCAAACTATACTGTACTGGAAATCTTAACTACTTAACAGACAACTGATTTTTACTTGACAAGAAGTTACTTTTCTCTAGTTAGGACTTAGGTGCTCTTAAACTATCTATCCTGCCTCAAATTTGGTGCAGCTTCTGTTCTTTTTGGGTCTTATAAAGACGCACACGATACCTGCATAATCAGGAAGTGAGGGTTATTGACATTGAGTCCAACGGAACAGAAGAGATCCTGCACACGAGTGCTGTTAGCATTCGCACCATTGATAAGATACTTATTTCTACCCCCAATGATAACCTGGAGAAGGAAAAGACACGGCAAAAACTTTAAGTAATTTTAAAATTACTTGATATTATGAGAACATCAACTGTAATAAAGAATATAAAACTGAGCAAATCCTATATATTATATCTTTGCATACATATACATACACACAGAATCCCACATTAGTATTTGAAACATCAAAACAGATCTTCTCGGACAGGAAAAAAATCATATAAAATATCTAATTAGATTACAAAAAATGTAAGTCATTGAGGGCAATATTAGAGGAAGCTTCTCAAACTCCACAAGTTTTCACTTTTTAAAAAACCAAACCAACCAACCAAAAACCTTGAGAGGCATCTTAATCTGAAAGATAAAGGTTCCTTTGTCCTTGGAGACCAAATTTAACACACCGTTCCAACTATAAGAAAATATGAAAGCAGAAAAAAGTACAAAAAATTTGCAAATTATAACTTGCTTTAGGGATATTATTTTATTATTATTATATTTCAGGGCAAGCCCATTATTTAAGAATATTAAACTAACTTCCCAAATAATTCCATTGTTTTTTATCTAGCACTCTAGATCAATTTCTACAGTTTGTAGAAGCACTGCTTGCATTGCAAAACCTTCGGGACTTTAAAAATTACCTTTTTTTTTTTCCTTGAAAAGTCAGTCTGTTGAGCAGGGTAAAAACATATACAGGCTGCTAAGCAATACAGATATTAAAGACTCACCTGCCTAGTGATGGTGATCTCATCATTAGTTTCAAATCCCAGTGGACTTCGTTTCTTGTCAGTATTATCAAAGGTAATAGACACAGTTGCTTTAGTAATTCCAGCTTGCCCACTTTTATAAACTAGATCTTGCAAGTTGGAAGCTCGCACCTAAATCCAGGCAACAGATAAATACATTTTTGAAAGGAATTAGTTACGTAGCTTCAGTGCACTACTACAGGTTTTGGAGTAATGAATGAAAACAATACATATCTAGCTGTCGGTTTAAGAGTTCATGTGAGAGACTGATACATGGGAGCTAAAACGTGCTAGCACTGTAAAACCACAGGCAGTGTGCGAGTCTAGTTTTAGTGAGCCAGATAATTGTTTCTGCATGAGATTCCTAACAAAAAATCGAATGGTTTTTTTTTAAAAAAAATTTAAAAAAATCAAACAGATGAGAGCATGTTTACTTAAAGAGCATTTATTATTCACAATGTAGTTCACAGACAAATGAATGAGAAAGTGTTCCTTGGAGGTCTCATGGATTTGTTTTCAGTTGGGGGTGGGAGGTGTACAAAAAAATCAACTGAAGAGATTCAAACAGGTATCAGAGCACACCTTTTTTCATTTTTTGTTTTTTAGAAAGCATAAAGCAGAATACTCATCTTAAAGAGCAGACACTGCAAGAAAAACAGCTTTTTTTTTTTTCTTCTGACGAACCAGTTTGGCCAAATTTTAAGACCCAATCCAGAAGTGAAAAAATTTATTACAAATAAATAGGTTAGTACCTTCAGCCACCAAACACCTTTGGCTTGAGGCTGCCAACTTCTAAGTAGGTATTTTTGGTCTAATGTTCTAACAGGCATACATTGAGCTACTGTCATGTATTGATAAAATTGTAATACAATCCTAATGTAGAAATGAGCATAAATGACATTGGAGATTACTCAAGAGAGAGTAATATGAAACGCTGCTGACACAAAGACCTCTCTTTTTACCTGTGACAGGTTGTTGATTCCCAAGAGGAAACAGATTGAGTCCAGGATATTGGACTTGCCACTACCATTCAAGCCAGTAATGGCATTGAACAACGGGTCGAAGTCACAGACTTCTGTCTTCTGAGCATAGGATTTAAATCCTTCCAGAACAATTGACTTGATGTACATTTTCTCTGTGTTCTTAAGGGACCAAGCACAGTATCCTTCCCAAGCACATGAAGAAAGATATCTGGATTATAAACCTAAATATTTCAAAGGAGAAAAAAAAAGAAAAGAAAAAAGCAGCAAACTAATCGTACTGCATTCCAAGCAAACAACTAAATGGGTAAGCAAGTGGGAAGACCTCACGCCTTTTGCAACCACACGGGGAAAACTCCAAGTAGCCCCCACATCCAGCAAGCACCCCAACAACCCGTACCTCGACGGTTTTAGGTGGCGCGGTTTGACACGGCGCCCATGGCGGCGGCACAGCCCCGGCTTCTCACCCAACCGGCCGCCCCCCCGCCAAGGAAAGGGCAAAGCTCGGATCTCTCAGAAGCCGGCTGAAGGCGAGCCCTCACTTTCCAGCTGGTAGGACTGCGACCTGCTCAGCCCCGCCGCACGGCAGAGGGACAGCCTCGCC